CAAACTTTCCACTAGGCACCCTAGAATGACGTCCATGTGGGTGACCATGGGGGCTCTGAGCAGTGTGGTCTGCAAGGAAGCAGTGGAACTCTGCTCTCAGGGAAGAACCCTGGAGGTCACACACTAGAGCCATGTGGAGTTCTAGGTGGTGGGTAGAATAATGTCAGACATTGAAACCAAGTTAGATGGTTCAAGTTACCAGAAACACATTTTTGACTTTGACATTCTTTCGTCAAGAATACAGACCTGTGCAGAATTGAGCTATGTAGCATCAAATTATACTCCAAATTTTGATAGTGAGGACCACAAAAGGGTGAACCGCTCCCTCCAATCAGTACCCTACTAGTATCCTAATAGTACTAATGTTATGGAGGCATTTTGTGTCTTTGGGAAGGGACTGCTGCTACTTCCAACTCAGAGGTACAGTATCCACCACCATGATAAAAGGCCAAGATGGATATTGTGGAACAGAACGGGTTTTTTAAAAGCTGAAAACTAGCATAGACAGGGTCATCCTCCAACAACATATAAATGGTCATATAAATCTGGGCAGTCAGTGGGGAAGCTTAACGTGCCTATAGAAATTAGCGAAGCACAGAAAACACTGCAAACATGCTTGGCACCATCAGTACAATTTATAAGTCATCTATATACACGATTAAAAACTGGTTTACCATGTCCTAAAAAATCACGAATAACTGAAAAACTGAAGGTGTAAGACCATAGGGCATAATCAAATATTCACAATACCCTGAAAGGTAAGGCTACAATCCACTTGTCTCTTTCAGATATATGAAAATGATTAGTTGTACTGCGCAAAGGTCAAATGTAATGAAGACAGTCGCCCGGTAAACTACAGCCAATGAAAGTCAATGAGAGTAGGTATCCTGAATTTGACAGTGATTTTGTTCAAAATTCAAGTCTAGAAGAAACAGATTATTTATTTGTAGTCAGCATTAGATTTACATTTACCTTCACATTCTATTTATGTACCAGATGCTTTTATCCAAAGCAACATTATTTTTTGCGAAAGCAGGGTGAGATGGTCTTGGGAGGAATTGGGGGTTCAGAGCCTTGGTCTGACACCCAATAGTCAAACCACTCTGCCGACCGGGGATCTTACCTGGCGACCCGCTGATCACAGGCACAACATCCTAAGCCATGCACTTGGTGGACTCAGAACCCACCTTCTGACATTTGGTACACATCAACATTGTCATCTGGCCCATCATCTGTTGGAATATGTTTCGGTCCGGTGGGAGCCAGATTGGCAGGTTTGGCTATGGGCTATCTCCATCATTTATGGAGAACATCATAGCAATAACACACGAGACATTCAAACAGCACAATCATGAGATCCAAACCCAGGTGAGATACAACTTCAGTGCACCCTGCATACTTCCACCTGCACTTCAACATTTTCCCTGGCACATGCTTTGAAATTTTATGTGGATTCATTATAGTGGGTTTTTGGGTCAGACTGTGACTTTTGGGTAATTAAAGCAAAGATTTGTACAATGGGCATTCAGATAGTGAGGGATACCAGTAAATTAGTTTCCTCAGTGTTTCACTGAACTGTAGTTTGTCTTATTACATTTACCAGAACTATTTTTCACAAAAATCTGTCTTCTCAAATATGCTTCTTAAATAACATCACATTGATATTCATTTGCTTAGCCAATGCGTTTCTCTAAAGGATCTTGTAATATTTTTACCTAGTTATACAGAAAGATATTTTTACTGAAGTAATACAGGTTATGTACCTTGCTTGAGGATATTAAACATGCTACTTTGCTGTGAGCTGGCAGCCTACATGTTAGCATGTATCTGATCAACTAAATGAAAAAATCGTCTAAAAAAATATCAGGCATTCAGCTCAAACTTGCTTCGTGTCAGTAGCTGTGCAGGAAATATATAACCGTCAAGGTATTTTTGTTGCACATAATGTACAGTTTAGAATTTCAGAAGAGATTCATGAAGCAATGTGCATCTGTGCTACTCTTTCTTTGACTTCATCAGTTTTAAGCATGCCTGAGGGTCATCAGTCATTCAGCTGCCGCAACTGTCGTAATATATCATTTTAGGAAATTGAATTAAAGTTATGCATAATATGTTAGGAGCACGAGAACATTGAAACTGATGTCTGCTGTCACTGCTCCTGTATTTGTACATAAACACGCTATATAATGTAGTAATGAAATATAATTTCCATACGAGAAATTATGCTAAATGTCTATTTTTGAAATCTGCTTAACTCAAACTGCATTTTAAGTGCTGTCTTGTAACATACTATAAGTTTTTCTGCTATCACTCCAAATGCTTTACTTTATTGATGATAGATCGCGCTGCCAGTGCTATAGACCTACTGTGCAAATGCTTAATACTTATCCAAGAGCTGCTAGAGTTTGCTATAATTTTCATGGAGTCTGTCTTGCCAGCACTTACTGCTAAAACATGGTTCACCATACTCTGGTTTTGCTCTCTTAACATATTTCATGTTTGAATGTTGTTTCAGGGCACTCCAGTTCTGTATTGCAGTGGTGTTCAGAGCAATGTCAACCCTACAAACTGTTGTCTTTTAGACAGCACTCTTAGTAGAGTACCAGAATCCCCATTGAGTTTTGTTAGGCTCAGGGGGCTGCATGAAGGGGTCCCCCAGTGTCTGTCTCAGAAGTTTGGATTATCTGGCTTCCTCCCGGAACAATGCTTGGAAACTTACCTTGTGTTTGTAACAAGGTTGTCAATCCACAGGAAAATTATATTCCCATACATTTTGCTATGGCCATTATGAATGCATTACTTACTTCACTGAAAGCTTTGATGAAATATATTTTATTGCTTAAAACAAAGCCAGTAACATTGCTAAAAGTCACTTAAATATGTCACCAAGGAGCTATTGTCAGAGTGTGTATGTGCTGCTCAGATAATCCATAAGTGATGCTCCTTGCAAAACAAGAGTTTTGTTTTGCCCCCTTGCGTTTGTCCATGACATTCATGTTTGGTTATTTTGATTTTGTTTTAATTCAAGTTAACTGACAGGCAAAGTTGACCTGACGTAAGATAACACTTTTATTTCTAACGTATTTGTTATCACTTTTATTTAAAGTGTGTTGGTACTCATCAGTGTCTCAGCTTATTGTAAATGAACTGAACCTGAATTCCATTCTGGTTTCTTCCCCCTGAAAGCTCTTGGCATTTGCCCTGATGTTTTCAGATATTTTCCACCCTTTTCATGCCCTTCTCTATTTCAATATATAGTTTGTCAAATCCATTAATCTTTTATGTTTTAAGATCTTTTTAAACACTTTATTATATAAACATGCTAATATTCTAATAAAATGTTGCCATCAGAGGAATTGTACAGAAATGTCATTATGTTTGTTTACTTTTAATAGCAAGATTTGGTTACTTTGTTATTTGTTTACTTGCTTTTGTGGTGACCTTTGGCTGTGACTGTATATATTTCACTTAAGCCTGTATCCTCTCACATCTAGACAATATCCATTTGCTTCTCACCAGCGTTGCTTCAAATGCCTTGACCCAAAGTATATTCAGTGTGTTGGATCTTACTATCCTCATTTTTCTAACATAACAGCAGACCTCTGTCTATCACTGCACTTTATCCATATATTTATATAGCACATTATTCTATAAAATCAGATTTTAAGCATACCTGCTGGCCTACAGAAATACCAGATGCTTGCCATCTGAAACATTTATGTCACCTCTACATTCCTGTACATAACCTCCAGTCCAGGAATCCTGGCTGTCTGTCTACCCATCATAGCAACCACTCCTCTTTGTGGTTAACCATTTACACCAATTATACCACTGAGGTAGAATAAACATCTGGGCAACATATGAACCTAGGAATAAAAGTTGAATAAAAGGGTTGTGATTCAAACTTTCTAAAACAAAAACGATTTCTGCAGTACCATCATACTCTTTATGGGTTGTTGGACACACTGTGAAAATGAAGTGGCATACTGGTTGGAAATAGTGTTCATAAATCTTGCGAATTATAATAAAAAAAGCATGCAAGAAATGGGAGATTAATAGCATATTTTCTATCCTTCCATCCATCCATGGAAAGTTAGGAGCATACTGCAGGAAGCATAAAGCCTTTCCATCCCATTGAAATATTACAGCCTTACAGTTTTTTACATTTACAAGTTTTATGTATTTCTATTAAGGTTTCTTAATAATCTTTACCCATCTATCTGTCTGACTAACTTTCTGTGTGTCTGTTTGTCATACATGCATACCATACATACTATTTATGAGCAGTTTCCTATTTCCATAATTGCCTGTTCTAAACATCACGACATTGTTTACATTGTGTGTTAATGTTTTTAATGTTAACATGTTTTTCCTTTTTTCTAAGAGCATGTCCTGTCTATCACTGCACTTTATGCATATATAGCACATGCTTCTGTGCCACTATATGCTCTGTACTGAGCATGGTTGGTATGAGAGTAAAGCACCTGACTTGTGTGAGTCCGTGTGCATATGTGTCTGTGCTTCAGTGCTTTGGGATAAGAGTGTCCTCTTCAAGTTCTAACTGTCTTATAATCTGTCACAGGTGTCCCAGCTGGACCAAGACATATGAAACAGATTAGTGTGGCATTAAACAATGATATCGTGGTGCATTTGCCAGAGTTAAAAGGCTTTGGGGACCCTTGCTTTGGTTGTTCAGAATTAAGTCCCACCTATTGCCATTGTTTTCAGTTCTCTGTGGCCATGATGAGTTGTGAATTTATGGTGACATAATTTTGGTCTGATAATATATATATATATATATATATAATTTCCCCCCCCCCCCAAAATACGTAAGGAGACGGAGATGCAATAACAGTACCTTAAACTCTAAATCTGCCATGATCCATGTTTAGAATAGGTAATCAGTACAGTTCTTCCAGATCTTAAACTGTAATTATTATCTTCTGAACTCCAGCAAAATTCATTTAGTGGTGGAAGATGAGGGATTTGGGGGAGCTCGTGCTCTAGAACAAAATTGGTATCCCAAGCAATCAGAAGCTGTCTGGCTCGGATCCTCATGCGTTTCCTGGCTACGGCCGCAATGACTGGAAACGAGAAAACGCGATGAAAAAAAAGAAAAGCGGAATCGCTCTGGGACAAAGATTGACAGCTTGGCAGACACTAGGCGAAGTTTGGGACGCGACTGGAGACTGCTAATCTGCTACCGCACTGCTCATGCAAAAGACATAGGCGTGAAAGAAAAGCGCGTATTGCAGATGCCCCTTGCAAAGTAGGACAGCATCCACGGCGTGTCTCTCCCTTCGCCACGTTATTGGATCATTTCAGTCAGTACCTAGAAAAGAAGGACGCTATACTGAAACGAGCTTCGTCCATTTAGTTAGGTTTTTTTAAACAGTTTTTTTTACCTTCTGTAATACAGGTACCGTGCACGTTTACCTTGCCTACCTTAAGGTTTTTTCATGCTTTTATCTTTTTTTTAAAAAAAATTCCAGATGAACCAGATCGTTGGCATTATCTTTAAAAACCGTATGTGCTACGCTGAATTTAGCGTCTTTTAACAGTTTTTTTAATGTGGGTTATTTTCAGTCTTGTATATACAACACAGATGCGTGAATAGAAAATGCCCTTTTAATGAAGTTATGCCCTCCACGGGAAACAAACGACGGGAAATAATGACAGAAAACTGAAATTGAAGTGGCATAAGTGCGTTTCATCGGTGTACTGTGCTGTCTGCCTTTCTGCCGGACCTGCTACATACGGCAGACAGTTATGTGTACAAATAATTTCTGTCTGTGAGATATTTAGCCTGGTATGCAGACGTAAGGAATTATCAAGGAGGGGAAGTTAAAAATAAAAAAAAAAACCGAGAGAGAAGAGACGCTTTCTCCTTCGCCCACAGCAGCGTCGGGCAGATGTTTCTGGAGAATGGTAAATGACCGATGGGGAATCATGAACAGTGTTTCTGAACTCGAAGATGGACAGCGAAATAAAAGCCAGGTAAGCGTTCAGAAGACGGTAAGATCATTAAAAGCTCCAGTGTGGCATTCTGCTAGCCAGCTGCCATCGTTAGTTTATTCTGTGGTCTGTATAACTCCTTGGAAGACTGTAAATACATTTTAATGGTAATATGGATGGTAATATCAACGTGGTAAAGAGTCATTTGGTAAACTTGCTTTGTCAGAGGTGATATATGCATGTGTTCTTAGGTCCGGGTAAATGTTACTTTGTAAAAAAAAAACTGTTAAGTTGCATGTGAACTCTATACAGCGTGTATTTTACTTCTGTGTGTGTGTCTTGTATATATAAATCTCTAAGAGGGCATGTACAGTATATGTATGCAAAGATTGTGAGGCGGTCACACACTGAATGCATTTATTTGTTTAGGTCAGAGGGTAAAGCAAGCTGGCAAATATAGATAGCCTACATTAAAACACACACACACACACACACATAATACAGCATATTTATCAAATGGTAAAACCATATCAAATTAAATAGTAATAATGACTGAGAATTATTCAGCAACAGATAGTCTGTTGTGTTGCTGATAGCCCTTCAGCAAACTGTTTTGCAGCTTCACTTCTTTCCCTTTACCCAGACACACAATCAAAGCACAAAAACACATCACCTCACACATTCCCTTTGTATGAAAAACACTGTGTGGTTTATGCTGTTCAATTAAGTGCAATTCAGAAATGGAAATGAAGGTGAGGTAAAATATTTCTTTGGATGTTACATGACTTGTTTCCATGGACCTGGTGGGCATGAGAGGATCAGAGCTTCCTCGGCCTGTCAGTTGCCTTTACGATGCTTCTTATAAAATAGTATATTTTATTGCTTCCTTCCTTGTTTCAATCTGTTACCCTGAAATCACCTACATATTTTCATTGGCTCGTGAATCCTGCAGAAAAAATGAATCATAAAATGATTAAAAGGTTAATTAGACAGTTTTATAGTTGTTTATTGATGTAATTGTCAGAAGGTTGTGCTATTATGCTTTTGTCTGCATTTTAGAGAATTAGCTGCATATTGTGTGCTCCTCTTGGTAAAATCGGATATGTTTTCTGTCTTTGCTTTTGCATCATTAAATTCCAGTGTGCTGGCGTTACTGTTTGCACTCCCAGTCATTAGTACTGTATGTCTGATTCCTGGTGTTTTCAAACACCAGAGATTGGCACCCATGTCTGTCCTTAAGTGACAGCACTGCAGAACGACACTCCTCCAGAAACTGATCTGATGCCTTTAAACAGATGGTATGAGTTTCAGTCTCACTGATCAGCATCTTCAAGGAGATATTTAAAAAAAAAAATACGTAGCACATGACTGCATTTTAGGAGTTTTTTTTTTTTTTCAATGACAAGATATTCAGAGGGACCTCCCAGAATTACATTTCCTTTTAGTCTGATGTTAATCGATGAAATATTCCCTGACAGAACAGGGAAGACTGTGGATTGCTCAGAAAGCATCCATAACTCATCTGCTGAGATTGCAATAAACATATTATGCACAGGTTCAAAACCCTTTCTTGAGAGTTTGAATTATAAATACCTAATTTATGTCATGTCAGATTATTCTAAAGTGTTCTAGTGTATCAGTTTGAATACTTTTTCAACCATGTTTATGCAAATGAAGGCAACAATGATGTTAATAAAGTAATATGTTTGTGAGAGTGACCCAAGCATTCAGAAATAAGCTTGCTGGAGAAGCACTGCTCACTCACTCACACGGAAGTGATTAATTTTGTCTTTTAAATACTGTATATTTTGTGTGTATTGCATGACATGAAGGTTAAATACGAAGCAAACCAAGTATTGACATTTGACAAATCCTCAGATGCAGAAAGCGTTATAAAGAAACTCCTGCTTTCTCCAAAACAGCTATAGTATGCTGGTTGTGCGCATGGGCGTGTGCACACACACACACGCACGCACATACACACGCATACACACACACACGATCGGCATGACTTCTTATCTACTTTGCTTCCATTCTTGCTGAAATTTTCTAGCAGTGCACTAAAATTACTTCAGCAAAGAGCAGGCAATCAAAGTAAAGGTGATTATATCTTATTATGGTCCAGATGGCCGGCTTGGATTTGTCATATCTCCTGTCATATGTTTGTAGGGACTAAATAGAATCCTTCCTATCATTAGCATCCGGCGTGAGTGGCGCTGCACCAGGGCTCGGCAGGATGCAAACATGCCCCATCACAGCACCCTCCATGTTCCACAATGCTTTGCTGTTTAAGTCCCACTAGCACGCAAATTCCCAAAGGCCCAGTGAAATGTTGTGCTGAGATTACCCAAGATCAGACAGACAAAACAGAAAAGCTGCAGACTAATGTTCCTCCATGATTTGTACTTCTTAAAGAAATTTGGAATTTCTCCTGAAGCCCTTTGAGTGTCTGTGTAAGTGTTTGGGAGTGGCGTTCTGCAGCTCAAAACAGGCATAGTGTGACTCAGTCAAGGGATGATTAATCTCTCGGGAGCTCTACCACTGTCCATCACTAGAGGGCTCACCTATTCTTTTGGCAGACGGAATTCAAGATTAGAGCATTCAGTACTACTGTTGAATCGAGCTGTATTAAAGACTCTGTCACTCTGCCTTTTTCTCTATTAGTCAAACATGCAGTACATACAAAAACACACTAGCTAAATATGGAAATGTGACAAAAATGAACATACATGCAAATTTATGCATAACTATGCATGCTAATAGCTAATGAATGCAGATAAGGAAAAATTTATTATTGCATTGATGAAACTCTCTGTATCTGGTTAGGTCATTAGATATGGTTACGTTATCCCAGGCACAATTAAATGCTAACCATATTACCAAAATTCAGGCTGATACATATTGTCTTTACCACCACAGCAAGAGCATTATGATGACTTTGTGCTGTGATCACAAAATAAAATGCATACCCTATTATAACACCTGTTATACTGATGCTCTTTTTTTATTGTATTAACAAAAGTTCAAAGATGAACTATCACCTAGGTTAGATTAGTAGCATTGCTAGTATTTGGTGGTACACAAGCAAAAGCTGGTTTTAAATATGCAGCTTTTGATTATTGTTAACTTGATTCTTAGTTTATAGAGATACTGAGTACTCTTGAAGATATTTTTCTTGGCCCTACCAATCTACAATGTATTTCTTGACTGCTGGATCCTTTATTGTTGATGTTTCTTCCTTAACTTTTATGTCTTCACCCGGCGGAACTTCATGTATGGGTGGAACATCAGCACATTGAATCAATTGTTCAGTGGGTATTTACATTACAATTACATTTTTGAATGTGTTGCTTGCTATAGCAAGAATATCCAGGGTATCTGTATTACCTTGAGATGTCCTTCCTGCCATGATCTTAATAGGCGGCCCTAAGGAAAACAGGAAATATAGTTCCCTTTAAGTGAAAATGTTAGGATTTATTCCCAGTGTTGCCTGTAGTTTATTCCCATAGAAATGGAAACTTCATGTAACTGAGTACCTTTAGGCTGCCTCTATGGTGCAAGATGAACTGTAATATCCCATCCAATCACGTGTATACATTAGCTGTAATATCCCATCCAATCACGTGTATACATTAGCTGTAATATCCCTTCCAATCATGTGTATACATTAGCTGTAATATCTCGTCCAATCACGTGTATACATTAACTGTAATAACCCATCCAATCACGTGTATACATTAGCTGTAATATCTCGTCCAATTACGTGTATACATTAACTGAAACATCCCTTCCAATCATGTGTATATATTCGCTGTAATATCTTGTCCAATCACGTGATACATTAACTGTAATAACCCGTCCAATCACGTGTACACATTAGCTGTAATATCTCGTCCAATCATGTGTATACATTAACTGTAATAACCCGTCCAATCACGTGTATACATTAGCTGTAATATCCCATCCAATCATGTGTATACATTAACTGTAATATTTCGTCCAATCACGTGTATACATTAACTGTAATAACCCGTCCAATCACATGTATACATTAACTGTAATATCCCGTCCAATCACATGTATACATTGTATTTGTTTAGCGGACATTTTATTTGTTTGAAGCGGTATACTGTATCAGTGAGGGCAGCTAGGGGTCAGAGAGCAGAGCTGACGGCCGTATGATAGAGGTTTGGACTGACAACCTTGCAGAGACAGGCCGAGATCCATAATCCGCTCAGGCACAGCTCATGGCTGATGTTTGGAGGGACATGATTTCAGTCTTTTACATAATGAAAACAGAAGTTCACAAAAAGTATCTGTGCTTCAGACAGATAGAATGATAGATGAGCAGTTACAAAATGGATGGATGGATGGATGGTTTGGGTTTCGGTTGATGATGAATACTGGTTTCCAGTTTTATATATCTATTTACTCTGAATATGGTGTTTGCATGTACAGTATTGTGTTTGTGTCTGACGCAGGTTCATTTTCAGACAATGACTTGTTCTCTTTGAAGTGCTCTTTCTGCGGCACTCTTTGTCCCTTGTTTATACACTCTAACAAAATGATGTCTTTATAGGTGGAATGCAAAAGCATTGCTGTCTGGTACTGTGAGAGCCATTAGTCACATCTCTAAAAACAGTCATATGGCAGTATTTTCGCCTTAGGGTTGTGTGGCATGTTTTTTTCCTTTAAGTTGAACTATTCCATCTCTTTGTGGTCTGCTTTGCTGCTTTGTGTTCTTAAATGCATCTTGAGTTGGTTCTCAAACTGTAGAATGTGTGCGCTGGTTGTATTCAGACTAGCAGCCTGCATTCTGGTAAACTTTGCATAAGTAATGGCTCCGTGCTTCCTCCAAGGCCCACGGCGCAGCGCCGGTGCTGGAGTGTGGGAGCGAGTGCAGTCGCTGCATATTGCGGCATTTGCATAGCGATGCCGACTGAAGCCAATCCACTGCCGGGCGCTCAAGGTTATGACGGCTCTTATTGTCAGCCATCTCATGCAGTGTTTATGTCAGCCAGTGATTCAGCCTAGCTCACGGT